CGCCCGCCGCCCGCGGGGTCTCTGCCGGCCCCCGGCTTCCGCCGCCGTCGGTGACATGTTGCAAAAATCGCGGAGTCGGGGCCGCCCTAGCGCCCTGGCCGAGAGGGAGAAGGACTGGAGCCGCGGCGGAGACGGCCGGGCCCCGAGAGGCGGTGTCGCCGAGGAGGCACCGAGCACCTCCCGGGGAGCCGGCGGCTCACAGGAGGCCCGGAGCTCCTCGTCGCAAGGAGCCCGCCGCGCCGAGGCCGCCCCCGCCGTGGGGCCCCGCACCCAGAAGCAGCTGGAACTGAAGGTGGCCGAGCTGGTCCAGTTCTTGCTCATTAAGGACCAGAAGAAGATCCCCATCAAGCGGACGGACATCCTGAAGCACGTCGTCGGCGAGTACAAGGACATCTTCGCCGACCTGCTCAAGCTGGCGGCCGAGCGCCTCGAGTACGTGTTCGGGTACAAGCTGGTGGAACTGGAACCCAAGAGCAACAGCTACATCCTGATCAACACCCTGGACCCGGTGGAGGAGGACGCGGAGGTGAGGGGCGACCAGGGCACGCCCACCACCGGGCTCCTGATGATCGTTTTGGGGCTCATCTTCATGAAGGGCAACACCATCAAAGAGACCGAAGTCTGGGACTTCCTGCGTCGCTTGGGAGTGTACCCCACGAAGAAGCACTTGATTTTCGGGGACCCAAAGAAACTCATTACGGAGGATTTCGTGCGGCAGCGTTACCTGGAGTACAGGCGGATACCCCACACCGACCCCGTGGACTACGAATTCCAGTGGGGCCCGCGAACCAACCTGGAAACCAGCAAGATGAAAGTTCTTAAGTTTGTGGCCAAAGTGCATAACCAAGACCCCAAGGACTGGCCAGCACAGTACTGTGAGGCTTTGGCAGAGGAGGAAGCTAGGGCCAGACCCGAGGCCAGTGGCCCAGCGCCCTCCTCGTGAGGGCTGAGCTGGACAGGACCGACCCTGGGGAGGGGCCAGGCGCGGTGCTAGAAGGTGGAGAGTCGGTGCTAGGAGGTGGCGAGTCAGGAGCATATTTCTGCAATGCTCACCTGTTCAGCTTTCGGATGTGTTTGCAAAGTTTTGTGTTTTTAAAGACTCTTAAGTTATTTGGTTCCAAAGTTTCCCTTGCAAAAATACGGAAAAAGGGTTTATTTGGTTTGTTTTACTGTCTATTTTTGGGTGTGAAATCTTGCTAACTTTGTAAAGCTGATAGGAAAACTTTGTAACATGATCTGGAACAGATATTTTAGGAAAAAAACACATCGGTAAATTCTTTGGTGCCAAGAAAGTAAAAGGGAAGTGGCTTTTATCTGACCTCTTAACCATCTCAGTTTGTAAAAAAAATAAAAGCCTTTATAAGTTAAAAATAAAAATTTAATTGCCTATATTTTTTACCATAATACAACTACTTTATATTTATGTCTTTTACATATCTAAGTATTATGCAACGTTCTAAGCAATGTACATATTTTTTCTCGGAATAATTTTATATTCATAATTAGCTCTGAAGCTGACTCTTCAGTACCAATTAGTTTTCTCCATTTTTGCTACTATATGATAATAAATGCTGCGTGTTTGAAGCAGTTAATCTTGTGCACTTTTTAATTGAAGTCATGAGAAATTAATTCCACGACTCAAAGCCAGCATCTTAAAAAAAAAAAAAGACAATTTTTCTACATGCTGATAAGGTAAATAATTTGTGTGTTTGTATAATGGCTCATGATGTAAAATGTACTTCTTACTGTTGGTTACAAACAGTTGATAAAATTTTTAGTCACTTAACAATCCCTACCTGGAGATCTGGCTGCTTGGCTTCAGATCAGGTTCCACCACCAAATTAGCTGTATTTTAAGCAGGTTACTTGTATAGATCATTTCCTGGCCTGTAGAATGGGTTGATGATGTCTATGTTATGTGCGGTATTGTGCTAATTAGAGATGGAAGTACACATAAAATCGTGGCAGAATGGTTGGTAGGGAGGATTTTAGTTGTTTCTTAAAATTTGTGTCAATGTGTTCATTTTATTCTTGAACCTTTTTGCTTTTTTATTTTAAAGATTTATTGATTTATGCATACAGAGCTGGGGTACAGGCCAGAGGTGCAGGTGTAGTGAAAGGCTTCGTCAGAGACAGAGTGGGGAGCAGAACAGGCATATCGACAAAGTACACTGCTGAGGGGAGCAGCAGGTAGTTCAGGAGAGGTTGGCCTTGTCCTGTGGGTCACCTCTGGAGTGGGGATGGAACTCATGCCAAAGTGGCTCCAGCTTCTTCGTGCTGTGCTTTAGCCCGCTGCACCACCAGCGAGGGCCCCCTTTTTGATTTTTAAGAAAATACTTTGTTCTTAATCATTCCTATGACTAGAGTTGCTGGTTCAAAAATTATGACAATGTTCTGGTCTGACTACTAGGGTGTATGGAAAAACCTAACATGGTGTGTGGAAACGGCCCACATGGAGTAGTGAGAACCGAAAAGTTAGACATAAGACCGCCTCTGGGCTTCCAGAGGGCATCAGAGGGTGGTGAAAAGGTAACTGAATTATGGCTTATGCTGACTTGTCAGCATGCTGATAGGGCGTCTTAGGCCGAATTTACCTGTAAATTGGGAAAAACAATATCATACTGTGTTATATGGATTAAATTTGCCTGAAGAATGCCTGGTCTCATTGTCTTCCACTATAGCTCTTGCAAAATCAAGAACACAGATTTAACAAACATTCCTTGAGTGACTAAGTATAGCTGTGGGAAGGTGCTTCAAATTTACCAACAAATGAGGTAAACACTTGCACTGAAAAATAGACTTGATGAACACTGCACCAGCTGTCACCCAGAAGCCTGGCAGATAATGTATGTGGCAGTGTGTGGGGGGGGGGGGGAATCTAGGTTACCAGATTTTACTTCATTCTGTAGAACTGGAATTTATATTTACTTGATCAGGAGAATATAGTTAGCCCTCAAAGGACTTTTCATTTGCTCTAAGATTTTGCTATCTTCTGGCTATGCTTATTCATCCCCTCAGTTCTTCCCCTCCAGTGTGTTTTAATTATTGGCACTTTCATCCGTATGATGAAGTTAATTACTCAGCGCCCACTGTCAGTTCTGAAACTGATGGTCATGATGGTCTCTTCTTGTTTATCTTGTAATAACAGCAGAGTGGGCTTGTAATCAGGGAGCTAAAATACTGTCCACCCATTTTAAAGCTAGGATTTTTTTTTTTTAAAGATTTATTTATTTGTACAGAACTGGGGTACAGGCCAGAGATGCGAAGGGTGAGAGGCTTCACCAGAGACAGAGCGGGGAGCAGAACAGGCAGATCGACGAAGTACACTGCTGAGGGGAGCAGCGGGCGGGTCAGGAGAGGTCTGCCGCGCCATGTGGATCTCCTCCGGGGCGGGTGGGGATCGAACTCATGCGGAAGTGGCTTTAGCTTTTTAGTGCTGTGCTTTAACCCGCTGCGCCACCAGGGAGGGCCGTGTCCACCCATTTTAAACAAGGAAAAATAACCCAGTCTTTCCTAAGTTGACAAGTTGCGTTTCAGAGCACAGACCCAGAAGAGTGGTCACTGTCCTGGATGACGTCCCATTGTGTCCCATTGCTGGACTACGTATAAGTAGCCATGGAAGAGAGCTGCACCGCCTGGTTGTTGGTGGGGTAGATGGGCAGTGTTCAGAAGCAGGGGGCACTCAGCCTGTTGAGTTCTGTATCCCAGTTCCAGTGACCGCATGATTTAGCTGAAGGCACTTCCGGTGTTCAATTTCTGTATTTGTTCTTCAACCCCATAAAGTACAAACCAAAGCACCATCCTTAGGGAGACTGATTTGAGACCCCTCCTCCAGTCCTCTGTCCTGGGGCTTCACATGAAATGGCTCCTTTTCCCAAATGCTGATGGCATGGGACCATGATTGGCAGGAATTATTAACTGAGGCACATGCCTTGTTCCACAATTTTCTCACAGGTCTTAATAATTTGTCATCAAGTTACCAGTTTATTTCTGAATTTAAAATATAAGCAGACAGGAACAACACCTGAAAGGAGAAAGCATACATTATACAAAAAGGAAGCATGATGTAAAATATATTAAAATATAATTATGGTTTATATGTATTTATTATATATATGTAATATATACATACACAGCAGATCAAGCCCTTATATTTCCTTACCCTTTCAGAGATGACAAAAATGTGTGACTATGACATATATAAAAAAAAGTAATACTTCTATGTATATATGAACAATATATAGGTTTATTTTTTAAATTATTGTTGAGCTTTTACAACTTACAGAAGTGAGATTATACTGTCCTTGCAACGTGCTGTTTCACTCACCATTGTTTTTGTAGCTCAGATTCATTTTCATTGTTCCTTCTTGGGACAGGGGAAATAGTCTGTTTACCCGTTCCTTGGTGTTGGGAGCGGTTCTTCCCAATGTTTTGCTATTTGCAGGCAGTGTACAGTGCTTCCTTCAGCACCCAACAGAGATGCTCCAGCCAGAAACAAAAAGAGCAGTGAGGGGTACTGCCAACTCCTGGCCCAGTTTGTATTAAGTTACTCTCCCTACGACACCAGTCTCTTGGCGAGTCTCCCCTGCCCCTTGTGAAAATTTGACCTTCTTGGTATCTTCCACCATGCTGTGGGTGTGTGGTGGTAGTTTATCATAGAACTGACTTGTTCTCTTGCTTAGTACTGACTTGAAGCATCTTCATATCTTTGCTCTTTTTTTTTTTTTGCCACCACATTTTAGATATGCTAGATCTTTCCTATTTTTATTGATTTATAAGATTTCTTTATTTTGCATATTAATCCATTGTTAAGTGAAGTATACAGGTAGCACATACATTTTATTTTTTTGTCACTTTAATATGTCAAAATCACTGTTTTAAGAGCTATTTGTGTGTGGATAGTGCTTTGAAAAGTTTTTCCTCTAATTCTGATATTAAAGATATTTCCTACTAATTATGCAATGCTTTGATTCTCATTTTTAATCTTGTATGTGAAGTGATGTTGGTGTCATTTTTCAGATATTTTCCTGACTCTGTTGCCAAATGCAAATCTGTTACCCAATGTCACGAAAGCCAAAACCCCTCCACCCACTTTTCATAAAAGAAGCCAGGTTAGTGCATATGGCAGGAGACTGCAGCAAGGCTCTCAAATCACTCTCAAGATAGGGCTTTGTGGGCACTAAGTGGGGCTGAGGAACAAAAAAAGGATGAAGAAAATGCAAATTGATAAGGTCTGCTGGTTACTTTCTGCTGAGTCATGGTATAAGTCAACTTTGGATCCAAAACTTCATTTCTTGAGTGTTGTCCGTTCCACGAGCTGAGCATCTTAGTCCCAATTAGAATCCAACATGTTTCTTCCCTTTTCTTCACTTCCTCCTCCTTTTTTGTGTTCCTGCATTTTAAGTTCCCACTCTTCAACAAAGAGTGAACCCGTGACATCCTAGACTTTTGCTAGAACCCCAGTAAAAGCTGGCCCCCAGGCTGATGCATGCGCACTCCCCACAGCTTTCCTGAGCGCTGTGCATAGCAGTGTGGTTTCCTCACAGTGCGATAAGTAGGACTTGACATGACCCAGAGGTCCCACTTCTGAGTTTATATAGACAATAGAAGTGAAAAGGGGAATATAGAAAGGTATCTGCTTTCCAACTTCCCATGTTGCCCACCATAAACTGTAATAATATTGGTGTCAAATATATTTCAACTATTTGTGTCAAATATATTTCAACTACATACATAATCAAAATGAAAAGAAACAGAGTTTGTAATATGTAAGCTCCTTTCACTTGATTTTCTTTAGTAATTTTAACTTGCTGGGTTTTGAGAACATGTAAAACTTAAAAAAAATACATTTATGCATATAAGAACTGGGGTACAGGCCAGAGGTGCAGGCATGGGAGGTGAGAGGTCACCAGAGATAGAGTGGGAGAAGAATAGGTGGATTGACGGAAACACACTGCTGAGGGAGCATCAGGTGAGACAGGACAGGTCTGCCACGCCTTGTGGGTCAAGCTCCCTGGCCAGGGATGGAACTCATGCTGCAGTGGCTGCCCATAGCTTCATAGCGGGGCAGTTTAACCCCTTGTGCTGCCAGAAAGGCCCCAGAATATGTGACATTTTTGAGACTAGACTGTAAAGTATCTTCTAGCTTAACTTCTAAAGTAGCAAAATCACACTAGCTTGTATGGCTTTCTAGAACGTTTGCCTTTCTGTTTGATTTAAGGTAATGTGAATTTGAAATCTTGAGGAATAATACCTTCCTTTAAAACATATAAATGTTATTCATGTTATTCTTTGATCAACTGGAAGCATTTTCAAAGCCAAATCATTTTTTCCTTCTAGCCTCTCCAAGTGAATAATCAATTTTTTGTTTGGTTTGTTTCCAGATAACCTTTTTCATGCTGCTCTCTGCAGTGTGTGTAATGCTGAATTTGGCTGGTTCAATTCTCTCCTGTCAGAACGCTCAGCTTGTCAAGTCCCTGGAAGGCTGTCAGTTGGTAAGTAATGAAATGCAAACATTTTGATAGAGGTCATAAGATTTATATTTTCAGAGAAATGATTCTTAAAATAGTCTTATTATACCTTATCTTGATTCTTTATCATTATTAAAGGAATTTCAGTTGATTCGTTTCTAGAAATTCTCCCAAATTGAAATTTGTTCTGCTTGTGAATAAGCGACTAATAGTGTATTTCTAAGTGGCACATCGTGTTCTGCTTTAGGATGAATGTCTTTAGTAATGATTATATTTTAGCATTTGTTGCATTGATTTTTCTTGTCACTGAATTTTAAAAAGCCAATTATGTGTGTCTGTGTTAAGTGCCGAGGTATACATAAACTTGATAATGAGTGCATCCAGACCACTTAGTTCTTATTTTTCAATTTAAAAAGACTATATTTTAGATGTAGGGAAGTGGTGGGCAGTAGGCTGTGTCATTGTATGGGTCAGCGATGGTTTCTTGGACAGAGCTATCGTTCATATCATGTCTTAGCGCCTAGTGGTGCGATCCCTGTTTCTGCTATTGCAGAAATCAACGTCCATTCACATCCATCAAGGGCATAGACTGACTCTGACATGACCCGAGCTGCTGGACTTGAATGGTTTGTTTCTTTATCTGGGTGACTAGCCAGGCTGCCTTTTAGAGCCCACGCCTCCACCACACCTGTCTGCTTGTCTGGCCCTAGGTTACCATTTCTGAGATGGGAGCAAGACTGAGTTGTCTGAAGCTTTTCTGTAGTGGGGCTGTGGCTTCGTGACTCACAACTATGTTCTTTTGGGTGAGAGTCAGCTGTTGGGAAGCCTGCTGCCCTCTCCAGCCCTTCTCTACAAGGCCCTTGTAAGTGGGTGCTGTTTCAACAGACTCCTCTACAGAACTCCGGACCCAACTGTGGAAGATAGTATAACTGATGGACAGCCAAGGGACTAGAGATTGGGCTTGGAAAGTGGATGGAGCTACAGGGGTTTCTGTGGGTGCAGAAGCTTACTGTTGAGTTGGTGGTCTACTATGAGAATCCTGAAATTACCAGGATATACTTGTGGAGGAATGAACAATTCCAGTCTGACCATTTCTGTCCGTCGCTCTGAGCCAGAATTTTAGGGAGGAAGCCTGTGAAGATGTAATTCACCAAACTGAAGCTCAGTGCTGTGAGAAAGGGCTGGGATGAGGGGATGATAGGAAATGTTTGCTGGAGAGTCCAGAATAATAAATATCTGCTCTACCAGCAGAACCATGTGTACACACTTATCTATTTCTGGACTTTTCTTCCTATCATGCCTCTGTGTGTTTATTTATGTTCCAGAACAGTACTATTTTAATTATATTAGCTTTGTATTTTATAATTTCCAGAGCAAGCTCTGCTCCCAGGCTCCACCTCAGTGTTGAATCTATTGAAAGATGTTCTTGCCTGTTCTCTGAAATTTAATCTTCCAGATGAGTTGAAATCATTTCTTTTGGCCAAAAAATAAAAGGAATCAGTTTGAAATTGAATTGGAATCCCGTTAAAATTATAGATTCCCTTGGAGGAGAATTTGACATCTTAAGGATACCGATACCACGTTTTCCCTCAGGCACACTGTGGGTGCTTCAGTTTATCCCAGTTATTTTTACATACCTTCAGGGTAGCTTTTATTCTTTCTTGGGATATTTGGTATATTTCCATATCTATGTGTTTGTGCCTTTTTCTTCTGCATAAATAAGATGAACCTGTCGCAGTCCCGCTCCGGTGAACAGGGTTGAGAGAGGAATCAGAAAGAACTTTGAAATAAAGAGATGGCAGACAGAAGTGGGGCTCTGGGGACGTGAGGCTTTTTATCTCGAGCTGAAGGATTCCCCAAGTGTCCAGTGAAACTCATTTTTATTTTTTTAAAAGATTTGTTTGTTTGTGCATACAGAACTGGGGTACAGGCCAGAGGCACAGAGACAGTGAGAGGATTCACCAGAGACAGAGTTGGGGGCAGAACAGGCAGATCGATAAAGTACACTGCTGAGGGGAGCAGTGGGCGGGTCAGGAGAGGTCTGCCGCGCCATGTGGTCACCTCCGGGGCTGGGGATCAAACTCATGTGGAAGTGGCTTTCGATGCTTATTGCTGTGCTTTAACCCGCTGCGCCACCAGGGAGGGCCCACAACTCATTTTTATTAAGTAAACTGTCTTCCACTCCACCCCTTTTAGGTTAGTTATAAGATAATGATTGTTTTCTTGGTATTTAGTATTAATTTGGCATACATTTCCCGCCAAGGCTCTGTGTTACTGAGTTGTTTAGTTTTCATGTCTGTTTCTCCTTTCAACTCAGCTTTGCTGATGCCAGAAAGGAGTTAAGTCTGGACACCGGCCGGTTTCCCAGCCCATGTTGACCCATCTTCCAGTCATGACCTTGAGACATCCCTTGCTTCAGCATTTTAAGCCGTGGGGTTCTCTAATATTAATCCATTAGCATAATAAGTACGAACGTAATAAAGAGACAGCGATGAACATATATAGTACCTCCTTTCCGAACATTTCGGTAACCAGATATCTCTATGAGTATTTTTTTTTTAAGATTTATTTATTTATTCGTACAGAACTTGGGTACAGGTCAGAGATGCGGAGGGTGAGAGGATTCACCAGAGACAGAGTTGGGGGCAGAACAGGCAGATGGACGAAGTACACCGCTGAGGGGAGCAGCGGGCGGGCCAGGAGAGGTCTGCCGCGCCATGTGGTCACCTCCGGGGCAGGCAGGGATCGAACTCATGCGGAAGTGGCTTACGTTTCTTTGTGCTGTGCTTTAACCTGCTGCGCCACCAGGGAGGGCCCTATGAGTATTTTTGTTTGCACACACATGGGGCGTCTGTTCCACACACAGGTATTCACGTTGCTTTTTGTCAGTCAACCACGTGGCTTGGCGACACTTGCACGTCAGCTCTCTATTCAGCTTCCCAGCTGTTAAGTAGTGAGCAGCAGAGAATCCCGTGGCATGCATGGATGATTGTTTATTTAACCAGCACTGAGTGAAGTGTAGGTTAGGGATGTTTCTAGTCTTTCACTAAAACAAACATGGCAGAGAAGAGAACCCTTTGTGCACATTTATTGCTTAACAAATACTGGATGTCGTTAGCTGCTGTTGTAGGAGCTGGCGGAGATGCAAGCTTGAGGGCAAACCATTAGGCCTGAGCAAACAGACAGGGAGAAGTTACTCAACACATCCTCCAGTCAGAGCCTGCATGTACGCTTTAAATTCAGAATGTTGTCCCCAACTTGTCCTCCAAAACGGGGACCGTAGACGCTTGCCAACACCAGATGATGTCACAGCCTCCAGACCCACACGCATTTCTGAGTGTCATCAGAGTGCCTTCGTCTTTATCAGTCTTAGTCTTGGTATGTCTTTAGTGAGAAGGGAGGTCAAGCATCTTTTGCATTTGTTTAAGTTGTATTTCTTAATCTGCTTAATGGCATTTCATATGTGTTGCCCCTTTTTCTGGCAGGTTTTTATTTTTCATAATTGATTTATAAAAGCACTCCCTCTATTAAGGAAACTGTCCATCTTCATGGGGGGGAGGTATATTTCATAGCTTGTTATTCACCTTTTAGTGTTTTTACTGGTATTTTTCTGGGTGGAAATTTTAGGTATTCAAATTGATTTTATTTGTTCAGACATTTTTACTGTTATGGTTTCTGGCTTACCTTTGCCTAAAAAAGATTTTCCCACTCCAGAATCTCATTTTTAAATATTGATATATATATATATTTCACAGTTCTATAATTTACTTTTGCAGTAAAGAGCATTATTTTTTTCTAGTTTCAATAAACATACATGTTGACTTTCCATATTGACTTTTATGTTTAGTGCTAGGTATTTTGGATATCTTGTTGTCCTGGCGGATATGTTTTATAAGTGGCTATGTTATATAAGGCCATGCATGTTAGCCAGGGCTTTTAGGAATTTCCTTTTTTTTTTTTTTTTTTTGTTACTGGTATTTCACTATATAATTATGTCTTTGATCCTGTAGTTTTCAGGAGAAATAATTATAAAGCTTCCTGCCTGCCTCAATTTGTAGATCTTGCTGTGTTGTCCTTTCTTGCTATTTTGTTTACAGCTACCATAATAGCATGTGCTATTGTGTCTCCACATTTAGCTTTTGTTCCTGAATTGAATTAGAAGCCCTTGACTATTCTCTGTTGAACATGATGCTGAGAGATGGTTTCAGATAGCTATTTTTATAATGTTATTATGATAAAGGTCTGCTCGTATTTTATTAAGAGTCTTATAAAAATTAAATAGAGGTTAAATTTTATCAAAGACTTTTTTGGACATCTTTTAGGATGACCTATTTTTAATTTGAATGCATTGGTACAATAGGTCATATTAATAGAGTCTCTGGCTTCGATTCCATGGAACATAACTGGAGTGAAATCTTCATTTCTGGAGTCTATTAGCTATTTTTTACTTTTACTTAGGGCTTTCGTCTGTATTCATAAATGCAATTAATTTCTAGTTTTTGTTTTACTCCCACTTTCAGTATTTTGCTTCATGACTAGTATTTCATATAAATTAGTTGAGAAACTTCAATCTAAGGAATTCTGTTCCTTGATGGATATCTGTACCCAAATTACAATTCTATGGTCTAACTCTATTTTATAAAACAGTAGAAAATTTTATAACCTTGCCCAGCTTTTTTTCTGGTTCTTTCTCAGATTTTCACTTTAGTCACTGACATCTCTATTATTAATACCTTCTTCTTTTATTGACCGTTCCACATTTTTTTTTTTAAGGATTTATTTATTTATGCTTACAGAACTGGGGTACAGGTCAGAAGTGTGGTGGGTGAGAGGATTCAGCAGAGACAGAGTGGGGAGCAGAAGGGCAGATCTACTGAAATACACTGCTGAGGGGAGCAGCTGGCGGGTCGGGAGAGATCTGCCATGCCATGTGGGTCACCTCTGGCGCGGGGATCGAACTCGTGCTGCAGTGGCTTCAGAAAGCTTCATAGTGCAGTACTTTAACCTGTTGCACCACCAGAGAA